CCCCTGGTCTGCTGGAGACGGTCTCCAGCAGACCAGGGGCACCAGAGCAGCTTACGAACGGGGCTTTCTCACCCCGCAGCTCGCAGGTAGCAATCCGCTACCTCGACCTCCGGGGCGAGAAAGCCCCGTTCGTAAGTGCGGATCCGACATAAGTCGGATCCGCGTAAGTCGGGGACTGCCTGTACACATCCTAAGAAATTACCTCCTTTTCTGAAATGCTTTTACCAGGACATTCAAAACATAATACAGCCCAGTGCTTCTCACTAATCCAGTGAAGGACAATCCTGCAATCCATGCTTTGGCTACAATAAGACTAGTATATATGATGAATTCTGATACTTTTTACTGGTATTGAGTAACACTTTTCTACTCCAGCTTCATCACTGAGGTAAATGAGGTCATGAGTTCAGCATAAGTTAAGATCAGAATCTGACACATTAAGACTATTTGCATGAGTAAGAGCTATTTATTGTTGGCACATTTTAATTGTGGTGCTGCATAGGCAAATGGTTTTCTAACTTGTTTTTTTTTTTTTTACCTCAGTCAACTTCATTTCTGGGACCAGCTGTTCATTTTCTTTCTTCAGACATATTGTGTTATTTTTTCCTGGGGGTATAAACCTTGGCTTTTTAGCTGAATTTCCTTGACATTGACTTGGAGCTGCTGATCGCCTCATACTTACATCTGCCAGTCTGAAAAACAGCAGATACAGAATGTTTTTGTGGAAAGAATCTTTAACTGCAGAAATATTTCAGAATAGCACACTTTATGCACTTCTTAAAAATTAAAATCTAAGTCTGCAAATCAGATCACTTCTAAGAGAAAGTTTAGTTCTCAGGTCTAATATACTATATGTACAAAACAGATATTGATGTCAGATATTCAAACAAGACATGTAAATCTATTTACAAATAGAGAAATGGGAATAGTAAACTGTAACATTGCTAATCCACACCATAGGAGTCAGTCATTAACATTTCTATTTTCACCTGAGAAGTCAATGATGCACTTCTCAAGAGCAAGATGTACTTTAGGAAAGAACAACATAGGAATTACTTTTTTACAAACTGCACATAGATATTAGATTGACAGAGACAGGCATTTGGAAATGGAAATTTCTCTCATGCCCTTCACAGCTAATCTTGAAAATCCATTACTGTGCTTGTAAATAGTACGAAATGGTCAGGCTGTGCATCTGAAATCTGATTATTAAAGGCAGAATTCCATCTAGTTGTGTAAACTCAAGATTGGGATAGAGTTGGGTATAGCCTTAGGTCTACATACAATGCTACAGTTGGGGAATTACTGGTACTATAGAATACTAGAACTGGAAAGGACCTCGAAAGATCATCAAGTCCAGTCCTCTACCCTCACGGCAGGACCAAACACCATCTAGATCATCCTTGTATATCTATACATATCTTTTATTTCCAATAGCAGTGTGCTAGTTGCTTTCCAAACATAAGATCTATGCAGATAATATACTCCAAGAAGTCATTCTGATTCAGTACACTTGCCTTACTGCAACAGATCTAGAAAAGGTGTGTTTTTATTATAAAAATGTTAGTTGGCAGTGCAGGGACACTAACTGTATGGGTCAGAGCTTTGTTCAATTCTCTCAGATTATTTTGAACTGGGTTTCCACGGTTATTTGTTTTAATTACATGACATACAGACCAAGAATACAGTCAAATCTTTGGGAACAAGACAAAGGGACAGGCACAGTTTTGGTAGCCACTGTATACTAAAGTGGCACAAATCTTTTTCTGCACTGGAGGTTGCACCTCCTTAAAGTGGGATCTTTCATCCAGCAACATCCGTGGTCCAGCAACATCATGGATGTTCCTGGACAACAGAGCCCAGGGTCAGGAGGGCCAAAAGCTGAAAGCCCCATGCACAGTGAAGCTGCTGGTAGCAGGGCCAGGGCCTTGGCAGCCTGGCAGCAGTATAGTAGCAAGGCCTCAGTAGAGTGGTAGGGGCAGCCCACCCAGGGCAGCGTATGCATGCCAGCCTGGCAGCAGGGCCAGAGCCATGGCAGTCCATCTGACAGCAAGGTCAGGCCGCGGCAGTCCTACAGGGAAAGCCTGTTTGGGGCTGCAGCAGCAGAGCCAGAGCTAGGCCAGGGCGGCTGGCAGCATGATCGGGGCTGGTGCTGTCGTGGTAACACAGCTGGGACCAAGTCAGCTCAGCCACTGCAATGGGACCAGGGCTGGTATGCCGCCATGCCAGCAGTGGGGCTGGGGCAACCATGTCACCCAGCCCAGCAACGTGGCCAAAGGAGCCAGTAGAGGGGAGAGGCAGCCGGTTGAGGGGGCTGGTGGCAAGGAACCTCCCTTAGTCCAACAAATTTCCTCACCCAGGACCACTCAGATCCAAAGGGTGCTGGACCAAGGAGGTCCAAGAGGTATTTTGTACCCAACTGGTCTACTAGCTGCACAGCAACCTTTCTAAGAACAAGTAGTCCCATAGCACCTTAGAGATGAACAAATATTATATATTAGCAGGAGCTTTCGTGGGAAAAACCCACATCCTCAGATGAGCTCATATGAGGAAGTGCGTTTTGCCCATGAAAGCTCATGATACTACAAATATATATATTTGTTCGTCTCTAAGATGCTACAAGACTACTTGTTTTTAAAGTTACAGCATGGCTACTCCGCTGAGACTTTCTAACATTCACACAAAAACAATTAAAAGGCTACTGTTAAGAAAAAAAACACACTTTAAAAAGATTTAGATACAAAAATGCTTAGCCTCAGTGATGTCTATAACTGTTGTTTACCTAACTAGTCTGAATACATATGCATGAAGTTTGATGGAAAATCACCATTTGATTTCACCCTGTATGGTTGTCACTTTCACTGTGGTTGTACTAGGAAGCATTTTTATTTTAAGTGATGCCTTCACTTTTTCCTGATCATATTCAAGATTTGCAAGCCTCTTCTTATGACTCTGTTCTTGCAAGTAGTGACTACCTTTCTTGACTATTGACAATTCTATCTCAGTTCCTTTATTGCTGTTAAAAACCTTTAAATGGCTCTCATGCAGGTATCTGTAGGCATCTATGGAAAGATTTAGGTGAACTACATTTTTGTCTTAAAATGTACTATTTTTTGTAACAATAAAAATGATACCAGTAAATTTTATTACAAATTACAAGGGTTATACTTCACACTCTATGTTGTCTTAGGAACAATCTCTTTAAATTGTAAGCTCTGAGCAAGGATTGTCTTTTACTATTACTTCTGGGGGAATTCTGTGTATGTGCAAAATTCATATCCCAGGAATTTTTTTTCCCCTCAGGGGAATATACATTCTGCCAGAGAGGTGCTGCAGTTATTCCTTTCAAACACCAGGGGATTTTGTGACACCAGAAGCGAGGGCAACTGTTCCCAAGCAGGAGCAAACCTCTGTGGATAGGAAGAAAAGGGTGTCTTAGACCCACAGCATCCCACCCATAAGGCCAGGTGAGGCAGCATGGGATATGGGGGACCTGAGACAGAAAGTGGGGAATATGGAGCTGCGGGGGTGGGGGTGTCACAGACTGCTAGTAGGGGGCCTGAATGGAAATGAGAGTGCAAGGGCACATTAACATTTCTATTTTTACCTGAGAAGTCGATGCACTTCCCAAGGGCAAGATGTACATTAGGGATGAACAGAATAAGAATTACCTTTTTTTAAACAAACTGTACATGGATATTAGATTGATAGAGACAGACAAAGTCCACTGAAAAAAAGTAATCGGGATCAGTGCAGATTTAAAAGATTCTATGGCAATGAATCAGGAGAATGAGATTTTGCCAACTGTCAGAGAGGTAGCCTTCTTAGTCTGTTTTAGCAAAAACCAAAAGAAGTCCTGTGGCATTTTAAAGACTAACAAACTTATTATGGTCTAGATGATACAGGTCCTGCCATGAGGGCAGGGGACTGGATTCGATGACCTCTCGAGGTCCCTTCCAGTTCTAGTGTTCTATGATTAGCCATGGCTCTCTCAAATTACAATACCTTTAGGTAGTCTCACCTTATCACTGTTAGAAGTGGGCCACATTCATTCTGATTGAATTAGCACTGATGTAATACTCTCATCTCTGTATGTATGTATAAATCCCTCCCATCTAAATCTTTCACTGCATACATCTGATGTAGTGAGCAGCGGCCCACAAAAGCTTATGCCCGAATACATTTGTTAATCTTTAAAGTGCCACAGGAGTCCTTGAGATTTTGTCAAATTTCACTTTATATCCCACAACTTTACCAAGGTTTAATTAAAAGTAACATGTATGGACTGTCTAGGAACACAAAGAAATAGATCACAACTATACAAATGCACTTCTCATCAATGCCTGAGACTGAGATCTTTGATAGCAGCACTATTTCTTCTTGCCTATACTAGAGGTTCAAGACGGGTGCAATACTTTAATTTCCATTTGTATGATGGAATTGAACCTGAGATCTCTGCAAGAGCTGAGAACAGGTGGTTCTCAGCAAAGGCTGCAGAGCAGACTCATTGTGCTCTCTGTAAGTGGTCTCAGCGAGAGATGTAGAAAGTCAAATAATGTAATAGTGTAACCACTATAAATCCTAGCAATTACATAATGTCTCTCAAAGTGGGCTCTCCTTGGCTGCAAACAGCGAACCAGAGCCAATGGGACCCATAAGGCACCAGGCCTGCAGAGCCCATAGTCCACTTTGAGAAACACTGAATTAAATGGTTATTTGTGCTGCTGGCTATGCAAGATAAAGGTATCAGGGATATGAACATGTATCCTAGTACATGATTAACCAATGAGTATGGGGGGAGAGGGAGGCAGGAGCCAATGCACGTGGAGCACAGAGGCAGCAGCATGGAGAGGGGGCAGGCAGGAGCCAGTATATGCAGGGAGCCAGCTTTTAAGCCAGCTCCCCGCATGTGCCAGTATCCACAAACCCACCTGTCCCTCTCCCACACTGCTTCCTCCCAGAGGTAGTAGCAGGGGGGTCAACAGAAGCCTCTGTGCCTCCAACACAGAGGTAGCTGGGTGGATGAGAGGGGAGGGGAACAGGAGCCAGTGTTCGCAGCAAGCTAGCTTAAAAGCTGGCTCCCCATGAGCACCAGCTCCTACCAACCACACATTTATACATCCCTATTATATATAAGCTTTATACTGCAGAGCCTGCAGCAAAGGTACCCCTGGAGAGGGGCTAGGAAGGGCTGCAAGCCCCACTCCCAGGGAGCCAGTGTGAAATTTGTGGCGTGCCACCCAGGCCAGGCCTGCCTTGGACAAGGGCTGCTGTGGCCAGGCTGCCAGATCAGCCCCTGCCTGTGGTGGACCCAGTGGAGCAGAACCCTTCCCAGAGTGAGTGGGGAGCTGTTCCAGCCCCTACCAGTTAACTGGAACTCGTAAGCCTCACCTGTTAAGGGTGTGGGTTAACCATTTACATCTCTAATCTGTGTCGCCACATGGAACAGTACACCACACCCAGTAGGTATGTGGTCTACTTATACATGTATCTGGACACACACACATGTATTTGGTTGTGTATCATTTACCTCGTAACAAAGAACAGTAGATCTTATTTTTAGAAGAAGGCAGAGTTTGTCTAATTTTGCAGTACAAGTGGCTGGAAGAAAACTGGAAACGCGCGATTGCCAGTCTTGTCCTAAGTACACACTATTGTTCCTTGCCTTGTGCTAGGCCTTGCGCTAAGCTTGCTCCAGACACCTGCAAGGTTACAAGTTCCCAAACGGAATCTGAAAGTGTCGCTTTCCTGAGGGGCTGGGGGAACGCGCCGCGATGCCCAAAGCTCTATTGCCCGCAGGGCAGACTTGACAGGAGCAGGGCTCCGCTACTCAGCTTGCCACCAGTGCCCTCCCCCCACAGGGGCCACGGCCGGGCCCCTTGCTACTGAGCCTTTGCGGCCGGCCAGCGTGTGAGCACCGAGCGGGGTTGCTCCGTACTGCCCTCGCCCCCGGGCAGCGGGCGGGAACGTCATGTGCGCTTCCCGGCCGGGAGGGAGATAACAGCCTGCGCCGCTTGGCCCTGCCACGCGCACCCGAGCTCCCCTGCCCCACTCACAGAGCGGGACGCTCAACTCAACTGTCCCGCCGCAGGCTCCCGTCAGCCACTTGCCACTAGACGCATGCGCCCTCCTTCCCACACTTCCGCACATCTTCCCGCCCGACATCAACCGTCATTCAACCGCGCATGTGTCAAAGCACCCATCTACCTCCGCCGGCTGTCCTGCGTCCGCGCATGCCCACTTGCCTCTCCCTCTCGACGTTTGCTTGGGGCTGCATTGCGCCTGCGCAACCTGCCACGCACAGTATGGCCGTCCTACTAGGGTCATTCCTGGTGTGACACACAGTCGTCAAGCAATAGCAGTCGCAAAATGCACTGCCTACTGTTTGCGATAGTTGCGGCGGTGCTTGGCAACCAAATTAGCGAGGGGTGGGGTAGAGCGTGAAGCGCCGCAGGTCTGGGGGGGGCGGAGCGTGATCTCCCGCTGGGCGGGCAAGTGGGTGACAGGGACGCGCGAGTGGCTAACCCTGCGTGGGACCCCTCTCCAGCGGTTGGGGTTGAGGGGGCCGCGAGCCCACTGGCCCGTTTGCGATAGTTGCGGCGGTGCTTGGCAACCAAATTAGCGAGGGGTGGGGTAGAGCGTGAAGCGCCGCAGGTCTGGGGGGGGCGGAGCGTGATCTCCCGCTGGGCGGGCAAGTGGGTGACAGGGACGCGCGAGTGGCTAACCCTGCGTGGGACCCCTCTCCAGCGGTTGGGGTTGAGGGGGCCGCGAGCCCACTGGCCCCGGACCGGCTAAGGTGGCTTGGCCGAGGGGCGGGCTTCGCTGGCCCTGACCCTGTGGCCAAGGGGG